GTCTCTACTTTAAAGAGTCCTCTCCTGCTGATGTTCAGGTGTATATCAGTATGTAGTGTCTTCTACTTTAAAGAGTCCTCTCCTGCTGATGTCAGGTGTATATCAGTATGTAGTGTCTCTACTTTAAAGAGTCCTCTCCTGCTGATGTTCAGGTGTATATCAGTATGTAGTGTTTCTACTTTAAAGAGTCCTCTCCTGCTGATGTTCAGGTGTATATCAGTATGTAGTGTCTCTACTTTAAAGAGTCCTCTCCTGCTGATGTTCAGGTGTATATCAGTATGTAGTGTCTCTATTTTAAAGAGTCCTCTCCTGCTGATGTTCAGGTGTATATCAGTATGTAGTGTCTCTACTTTAAAGAGTCCTCTCCTGCTGATGTTCAGGTGTATATCAGTATGTAGTGTCTCTACTTTAAAGAGTCCTCTCCTGCTGATGTTCAGGTGTATATCAGTATGTAGTGTCTCTACTTTAAAGAGTCCTCTCCTGCTGATGTTCAGGTGTATATCAGTATGTAGTGTCTCTACTTTAAAGAGTCCTCTCCTGCTGATGTTCAGATGTATTTCAGTATGTAGTGTCTCTACTTTAAAGAGTCCTCTCCTGCTGATGTTCAGGTGTATATCAGTATGTCGTGTCTCTACTTTAAAGAGTCCTCTCCTGCTGATGTTCAGGTGTATATCAGTATGTAGTGTATCTACTTTAAAGAGTCCTCTCCTGCTGATGTTCAGGTGTATATCAGTATGTAGTGTCTCTACCTTTAAGAGTCCTCTCCTGCTGATGTTCAGGTGTATATCAGTATGTAGTGTCTCTACTTTAAAGAGTCCTCTCCTGCTGATGTTCAGGTGTATATCAGTATGTATAGTGTCTCTACTTTAAAGAGTCCTCTCCTGCTGATGTTCAGGTGTATATCAGTATGTAGTGTCTCTACTTTAAAGAGTCCTCTCCTGCTGATGTTCAGGTGTATATCAGTATGTAGTGTCCTCTACTTTAAAGAGTCCTCTCCTGCTGATGTCCAGGTGTATATCAGTATGTAGTGTCCTCTACTTTAAAGAGTCCTCTCCTGCTGATGTTCAGGTGTATATCAGTATGTAGTGTCTCTACTTTAAAGAGCCCTCTCCTGCTGATGTTCCAGGTGTATATCAGTATGTAGTGTCTCTACTTAAAGAGTCCTCTCCTGCTGACGTTCAGAGAGATGAAGCGGATGATAAAAAGGATAGGATCTGCTGCACAGATTACTACTGAATTATTTTAGAGAACAAAGAACTCTAAGATTTTCTGAAAAACATAGAATTTGTTGTCGTCCTCTGATTTTGATTAAAGGGAGAATTTGAGATTAAAACCACGAATCGGAGAAAAAATGTTTTGGGACATTTTGCGAAAACAGTCAAGATTCCGAAATCATCCGAAAAAAGATATGTATAGTTTTCTTTAAGTCCCAAATCCCACTTGTTGATTCTGCAGAAGCGTTTAGTTTGAATCTCCTGACTGGCAGGTCGCCTGTACCATATCTCCCCTTTGATTAGCATGTTGCCGACACAAAGGCTTCTGTTGTTATTGTTGTGATGTTCCCCTCCATCACAGGAGCTGCAGGTATTTCCTCCTGAGGGTTTATGGATCAGTGCTCTGCCGAAACTAATCACCTCCAAGACTCTCTTTGGTTTTTAACTCGATTATAATTGAGTCCTGAAACTAGCGCTGCGACTTTCTTTCCCCCCGAGGTTATCTAATGTATGTTTCATGGAACAATGCAGTCTGCTTTTCATTATGCAGCCACGCACCGGCAGCCGTCTGCACGGTGCAGATTCACTTTATCGAGTCATTGTTAGGACATTTTCTAACGCCCTTTAATATAAAACCATCATGCAAACAGCTTTGAAGCAAATGGGTTGTATTGCTATTGTTTAATTCTCCCAGTACACAAGTTCCACCTTGGCTAACTGGTTTTAATTAAAGTCGTTTTTTCTACATTTACAAGTACGATACTTCTATAGTTTTCTTACGAAGCCACTTTTAAGGTTAGTTAATTGTGCAGTCGTTCCTGAACAATCATCATCATCAGCTTTATTAAAGAGACTCTAGGTCCATTTTTAAAAGACATACAACACTCAAATATTAATTTAAAAAGGCAGTTATACCAATGTTCCCACAGAGGTGACTGGTATCGTACAGTACGATGATGTAGCTTCCTAGCTAACTAGCTTAAAGCGGCTATTGATACTTCTAGTGAGCGCCAGAGTCCTGCATGGGAGGCTTTTGGTGTCGTCCTAGATGGAGAAAATAACCAACATCCCAACTGTGTGTTAATAATTGCACGTTTTCACTGCTCATATAGATGCGGGTTCGGGTCGGGTTGCGGAACTAATTGGCAATATGTGCGGGTAGCGGGGCGGGTTCGGTATTGCACGTCGCAGGTCTTGAAAATCAGACCCGTGCAGGACTCTGGTGAGCGCTCAGCAGCCGACAATGCTAAAATGCTAACCTAGCCTAAATTTCACGGTGTTCTGAATTGAGACACACACTCATGCTATATCTCGATTTGCCTACATTATATTCCAACCCAGTCTCACGGCATTTCGTGTTATAGTCACGAAATAAATGTAATCTATTGATTCCTGTTCACCAACACGATTTACGCAGAGAAGGATTTTAAAAGCAATGTATTTATATTGGTGTGTTTCGTGCCTGCACCTCGTCTCTTTGTCCGGTCGGGTCTTGGAAGACCGGAAGCTGTGTGGTTCATAAAAACATGTGCTTACTCAATATCTTACCCTAAGCCTAACCCTATGCCTTTTATTTTAAATTGTATAATGCCGGAGTTTTTTTTCCGTCTGCGAGGAAAATAAATGGCTCAGAGCCTCAGAATACTGACATCGGTATTTTTTGTCATCTTTTTTTCCTTCTAATTTGTTATTATTTACATTGCTTTTAAAATCGTTCTGTGTGACACGAAAAAAATGGCGAAATCGTGTTGGTGAACACGAATCAATAGATTAATTTCGTGACTATAACACGAAATGCCGTGAGACTGGGTTGTATATTCATTACAGACATAATGCCATATTTGCTAACGTACAGTATGTGAACAACAACAAACTATTGAATACCAGTACACTGGTTTAATAAAAGAGGCCAGTGGTCATTTCATTTGGTTGATGAAGCAGTCTTTCCTGTTTTGCTACAATGAACAATGATGTAGCCTCCTAGCTAACTAGCTTAAAGTGGTTATCGATACTTCTGGTCAGGGCTCAGCGGTCGACAAAGCTAAAATGCTAACCTAGGCTTAATCATCTCATGCTATATCTCAATTTGCCATGCAAGTTCCCAGGTATTGCATTCATTACAGTCAAAAGGAGACTCAATGAATGCCATATTTGCTAACGTATGTGAACAGACACTGGTTTAATACAAGAGGCCATTGTTCATTTAATTGGGTTGATAAAGCAGTCTTTTATGATTTGTTACCACAGTACAGTACAACACAGCTGCGTACTACTGAGAGTATCCTCATTTAGCTAAACTCTAACTCACAACAGTTAAAAGTACAGTGAACATAACCCCTAAGAACTAAAAGTTATACATAGGTTTTTTCACTTTTCAATTGCTAGCAAGTTAGCTAGCCACAATCTTCATTTCCTGGCCGTTTCTTAATGTCGAGTACACATGCTGCAGAGCAACTATTTCAAGTATACTACGTCATAGAGTGGCGCAGAATGCTGGGCATTTAACATGCATTTAAACAGTCCTTCGGCGCCACTCGATGACGTAGTATACTTGAAATAGTTGCTCTGCAACAGTTTTACTCGCGATTGAGAAACGGCCACTGTGTGGGCTCAGCAGCCATGTGGTTTACAGACAATGCTAAACGGCTAAAACTCAGCAGTGTACTTCAGAGTATCTAAATTGAGACACTGACCTATGCTTTGTCTCAATTTGGGTACATTCAAGTTCCTAGATATTGCTGTCAAAAGTACGGCCAATGATCGCCATCTTTGCTAACTGTTAGCTACAAACAAAAGAAAGGCTATACCTGAGATGTTCTTCCCATTATTCATTAACGTTCCTCTAGAATTGATTAATTGATTGCAGCAATGTGCAATTTCAGACAATGCTTACAGATCCAGATTCACACACCGCATACGTGACTTTTCCTTGTTACAGATCTAACTGGCCATGTTTCAGAGCATCACTGATAACCCTCTCTTCTCACACTGTACATTTTACATTTATTTTCAATTTAACATTTAATATTCCATTTCTTACATACTTATGGCACATTTCCACTGCAGCGGGGTAGCCCCGTTTAAGCGTCCCTAAGCGTCATTTCCATTACAGTTTAGGACCTGGGGTAGCAACGCCCGTCGAGCTCCCGCTGGATTGTATCATCCCCAATGAGATGTAGGAACGTCGTCACCTCCTCGGTCGACCACGGTGTGCTTTTCTTTGACGTTGCCATTTTTGTAGCTCCTCCGTTTACAAAAATGCTGCAAGCTTGCTTCTAGATATATATGCGGGATGATCTCGCGCACGATCTTGTGACGATTCTCTCTGACCAATCAGCAGTCGAGAGTGTTGACGTCACTAGTTCAGCCCTGGCCCTGGCCTGATAGAACCACGATTTTATGGGGCCGGAAAAAGAGGGGAAAAGTACCCGCTAGCCGGTGCTAGGCTATATGGAAAGGCCACCAAAAACTGGCCCGGCCGCTTCAGGACGATTAAGGACGCTTAAACGGGGCTACCTGCTGCAGTGGAAATGCGCCATTAATGTATATATTATATCCTGCTTTATATTTTGTTACCGTAAATTTGTATATGTTCTACTTTTATAATGCTATTTTATTTCTATTTGCGATGTTTATTTTTTGGATTGTTTGTTTCGAGTCTTTTAATTTCTCTTTGTACAATGCCTTTTCTTTTTATGCCGCTGCAACGCAAACATTTCCCAAATTGGGATCAATAAAGTACTCCTTCTTATCTTATCCTCTCTTCTCGTTGTGTTTCTCCCACAGTCTGAAGAACCAGATATGTGTCCAGTGATCGTCGCAGAGATGAAACTCTTGGATTGATGTCAGACAGGCTGATGGTCAGCTGTCCCTCCATCCTGCTTCTACTCCTCCATCATCTCTATCTCTGTCTTTTTAAAGGAGGATTATAAGGAGATGTTTTGTACCACTCCAGCACTGCATCAGCTCTCACCTGTGGGAACAGAGTGGTGTAGGAATGAGTCCTAAACCCCAGAGAAAAGTCAGCATTTTACCACTTCCTGTCCGACGTCAATGGTTCTCTGAATGTGATTTTGGTTGTTATCCTGAAATAAGGTCTGTCGTTCACACAAGCTGAAGAGATTGTAATGTTTTGTTCTACGACTTAAAAATGTGTCAGTAAATACCCTTTAATTTAAAAACAGTGGTTGCTAACAAGTGTCTAAATGAGACGACTAAACGTCATCACGACCAACATTAGCCGCGTTTAGCTTAGCGGTGGTGACGTGAAGTCATGTGACCGTGCTGTAGTTCCTTTATAGCCCAACATTAGCCACCTTTAGCTTAGCGGTGGTGACGTGAAGTCATGTGACCGTGCTGTAGTTCCTTTATAGCCCAACATTAGCCTCCTTTAGCTTAGCGGTGGTGACGTGAAATCATGTGACCGTGCTGTAGTTCCTTTATAGCCCAACGTTAGCCGCCTTTAGCTTAGCGGTGGAGACGTGAAGTCATGTGACCGTGCTGTAGTTCCTTTATAGCCCAACATTAGCCGCCTTTAGCTTAGTGGTGGAGACGTGAAGTCATGTGACCGTGCTGTAGTTCCTTTATAGCCCAACATTAGCCACCTTTAGCTTAGCAGTGGTGACGTTAGCTTTTTACTTCAGAGATCATAAAGTGGACACAGATTTATTATTTCTGCAATAATCCAAAATCACATGGAGGAATCCCATTGGACCAGGGAGATGCTGCCTTCAGGGTCCAACACAGAAATAGGACATCCCTGCATCACTCTGTACAGAACACAGTGTCTCTGATTTAATCGATCGACATTCCTCCGCAGCTGTGTTTCTATCCCGTTTGTGGATCCGACACACAGCATATTTCTAAACGTGCATACATTATTTTCCACAGTACTGTGAAGTGGATATGAGGGTTGTTTTTTAACTCTTTATGTTTGCTTCTACTTGAATAAAACAGTGTATTTATGTGAAATGACGAAGGAGAAATAGACATTATTTAGCATTGTGGGCTTTAAATATGAGTCCATCACCATCTCTGCCCTCTGTTCGGATGCTTTTACATGTGCAGTGAGACCCCCCCTTGTGTGTTAAAGGGGTCGATGGCAATAATGACACCAGTGGGACTCTTCATCTGTTGAAATTGTTTTATCTTTTGACTCTGGTAGAATAATAATCCACACGGTAACTGGAGATAATTTTTGTTAAGCTAAGACTCATTTTCATAGATTTAGATTTAATAACTTTGCATCTGACAGGAAACACTTCTCATGTGATCTGGCTGAACTGATGACTTGTTTACAACTAGACCCATTGTGTTTATGTACATTATCACAAGCAGAAGTCCTGAGCAGTGGTATCAAAAATCATTAAAAAAACCACAGAGGTTTTCAAATTGTGAGACGGGCCTCCCAAAGGTTTCAGGTTTATGGTCAAAAATAATAACAATAATTTATTAAAATGTCATGTCAAATATATTTTTCAATTTAATATTGTGTAATATTTATTTATTTAACCAAATAAACAGACAATACATATTTTGTTTCTATCCCCTTCAATATATGTATTATTCATTTAATTGTAATATATTTTTAAATGTATGTGTTTTTTATTGCTATGCCCCTTAAAACAATTATTATAATTTTAATTCTAATATGTATTTGTTCTATTTATTTGTTAGTATTATTATTTATTTAATTAACTTAATATACACTTAATATTTTTGTGTTTTTATGATTATTACTACTTAATATAATTATTATTTATACTTTTAATCAAGACATTTCAATGTATTTGTATAATATGTATTCTAATGGTAATATTATTATTTGTTCATGTTAAGGTGAATATTTTTTTTGTTTTAATTGTATTTTTTAAAACAAATTTTAATAAAGTACATATATGGACGCGGGAAGGGGGGGTGCTGGAGCACCCCCATCTGCGAGGCTCCACTAGTACCCGCACCCCCAAACGCAGCGCGCCTACGGTGTAAGCGCGCCACAGTTTCGCCGCTGCGAGGCTCCACTAGCACCCCCCCCCCCTCCCAGCGCGTCACAGTTTTGCCGCTGCGAGACGCTACTAGCAACCCCCACCCCCCCGCACCCCCAACTCTGACTGACTTCCCGCGTCCCTGTATAGGGACAAATAAAACAAAAAATAAGCAACAGAAAAAAAATTAAAAATGTCCACTTTAACAAACTAATAAATGCCTTAGGACAAACAAGTTATGTAATTTATGTCTTGGCTAAATTCGTTAGTATTTATCGGATTAAATAACACAAGCATTATTACATGTTACTAGTTAGATGCTTTTATCGAAAGTGACTTACATACTCAATGCTGACTGCAGTGGGGTTTGAACATGTGCTTCACTGATCCCAACACCAACGCACTAGACCACTGCGCCACAGCCTCTGTTGTCCAATAAGCATCCAGGAATTTAGTAAAGTAAATTAAAGGGGGGCCGAGAGCAGGGCGTTCAAACTGCGGCCCGTGGTACATTTTTAATCGGCTCTCAGCTAATCCTTAAAGTATAATGGACACCTGAACCTTGTCTTATATTGTACTTCTTCAATATGTATGTAAACAGATATTACACAGGTGTATTCATGTGTTAATGAGCCCACTTTCAAATCAATTCAGTACATTAAAGTGAAGTGAAGCTAACAAATCTTAGTTGATATAAAAAGCCCAATAACTTATTTCCTTAACTTGAAATAGACCCTTCATATTTCCCCAGGAGCTACAACACAATAAAGTGATCCCTCTGGAGAGCTGGGATGTTTCTTAAAGGATATTCAAGAATAATCTACCTAACTTATAACTTGAGGCAATGTCCGTCACCTCTAGTGAAAACAGTTCTGACCCCCTGGCCTACAGTCGCACACTTTGAAAACCTCTGAAAAAACACCCAAAAAACAGTGAATTTCTTCAGATTGAATAATCTCTTCCACAAAGCAGCACACAGTCAGCTTGTGTTCAGAAGTATTTCCTTTTTAATTTCAGCACGGTCTTCATCTCAGGGAGGTGTCACTGGCCGCTTCACAGACATGTAACTCTAAATGTAAGTCTTGTGAATGTGTTGAGGGTAAAAAGGGTAATTCAGCTTTATAAATAAATATAAGTAAATATCCCACTCGGAGCTTATGTAGCATTCTTCTTTCTGACGTTAGGAAATGAAAGGTGTTTAAAGCTAACGAACAAGACGATTATAAATAAGATATATGACGGTGGTGGATCAGAGGACTTTTTTTCTATCTGTTGAATCATTTCTCCAGTCCATTCACAACCATCACAAACTGATGTCACTTCCGCCGCCGCCGCAGACATCGAGAAGAATACTTTATAGAAATGTGTTTTTTTTAATAATGCACGTATGGTTTGTTATTGCAAGTCCAGAAATCATCACAGGAAGTTCATCTGTCGAACTTCCTCTCGTCTGTGCTCTGTCGTGTCTGAGGAGAGAATAAAAAGACACTTGCAACAACAAAACTCTGCTTTGTGTCACTTTGTTTTATTTCTGATCATTGTAGAAATATATATTTAGAATAGAATAGAATCATTTAATGTCATTATACATATACAATGAAAGAAAGAAAAGCTTCTCCCTTTTAAAAGGTGCCATCAAAACAAAAACATCACAACATACGACAACAAATACACGCAGCATTCATATGTAAGAATAAAGTGTCCTTTGGCGTCACTATCAAAACGCACTGGGGGCCCTTTAGCGTACATTTTCAAAGCGGACTGTCCCAAACGATAGCTGAGGATTCTGGGTAGTGTAGTGTCTTCGGCCATCCTAAACTCCAAAACACTATTTGTTTCTCCGAATCGAAGGGGAAAAACACAAAAGCATTGCACACTATTTAAACCAATCAATGTTGTGCAATCAACAAGGATAATCTGGTGTTTTGAGTTGATGAGTCGTGCAGATATCACTGTCAAATCAATTAGAGAGAATACTTACTTCCGGGTGTAAAACACTCTAAAGAAACTACTATGAGCTGCTCCGACCTCCAAAAGTCCAACATTATACAATCAAACAAATAAATAAACACAAGGATAATCGTGTGTTATTGTTGAGTAAATCACAGTGTGTGGTTTAGAACAGAATACAACATTAGAAGGAAAAAACGATGAAACAATACAGATTTCAGTATTCTCTCCCCATAACTGACGGCAACAAAAGTCCGACATTATACAATTAAAATAAAGAAGTAAAAACAATAAGTGTGGCTTGATATTGAGTTAGAAAAAGGTTGATAAACGCTGTGAGAATGGATCTGCGGAGAGCATTTAGCTGCGATCCCAACTCGTCTATTACCAACGTTCAGGGAGCTCTATGCAAGTCAATGGGACGCCCTGATAGCTGAATATTGACGCCAAAGGGCCCCCACTGCGTTTGATATTGACGCCAAGGGATCCTGACATAACATCACTATAGGACGAGTTGGGAGGGAAAATGTGTTATAATACGGGGGGTGGGGGTTCCAGGGGAAAAGGCCAGTTTGAAGAGGGGGGGTTTTGAGGATGATAGGGTGGTTGATTGTCTGATGTGTATACGGAGGGCGATCCAGAAGGAGGGTGTTGCATTGGAGGAGACCCTGTTCCCCTTTTCCTGTAGCGTGTTCTGTCGGTGTTAGTGCATGTAAATGGTCTGCAAAGGCTAAAATCCCTGAGTTTCTCTTCCCCATCTCTCGCCTCCATTCAACTCCTTTGTTTACTTCCGAAACATATTGACACCACGGGTGCTCCTAACTTATCTTTAGCATCCTTTTTTAATGCTAAATTGTTTCTTACAAATATTTATTTTTTATTATATTATATATATATTTGTTTTTATTTACTTTGCAACTTATTTTTTTAGATTGTTTATGTTCGCACCACCAGAAAGCAAACTCCTTGTACCTGGCAATAAACCTGATTCTGATTCCTATTGGCTAGCACTCCAACACATTGTACGTGATAGGCTAAGGGGCGGGACATCTCGAAGCGGTTGACCAATCACAACAGAGCCGGCCAGCTAACCAATCAGAGCAGACTGGGCTCTGGTTTCAGACAGAGGGTGAAAAGAGGTGCTACATCACAGGCAGTATGAGAACAATGAAGAGCTTTTTGAACATTAAGGCATTGAAAGTAAGAGAAGATTTTTATTTTACAGCTAAATAAGTCTAAATGTTAGTTTATGTAGATGTTAACTATGCTTGTAGCTTCCTCTGATTATATTGTTATGGCCCTAGACTTTATTCTCATTATCCTTTTAGTCAGAGGTGGGAGTAAGTCCTACATGTGCAAGTCATGAGCAAGTC